AAACTGGGCATCTTTGGAAGAAAGGCACAACACAGCCTGCAGGATCAGAAAGTAGGAAGTGGCAATGAGGACCACAACCATGCCAGTGATTGAAATTGTCACCATGAGACCATAAATACTACTGGGCTTGATGCTAGCACAAGCCAGCTTGGCTATGCCCATGTGCTCACAGTAAATGTGAGGGATTATGTGATGTCCACAGAAGGGTAAGCGTTCAATGAGGATGACAAAGGGGAAAACAAAGAAAAGACCACGAATCACACAGGCCAGTCCAATTTTCCCAATCATGGTGGCACTGAGGATGGATGTGTAATGAAGAGGACAGCAGATAGTCACATAGCAGTCAAAAGCCATGGCCAGCAGAATAGCTGACTCTGTGGCAAAGACAGCATGAACAAAAAACATCTGAGTAAGACAGCCATGATAAGAAATTATGTGAGACCTCGGCCAGAAGACTGTTAGCATTTGGGGCAATGTAGTTGAACAGAGTACCAGGTCAGTGACAGAGAGTAAGCACAGGAAAAGGTACATTGGCTTATGCAGAGCTTTGTCTGTCATGATGATGTAGAGGATAGTTCCACTGCCCACCAGAGCAACGATATACATAGAGCAGAAGGGGATGGCAATCCAAATGTGCTGGTCTTGCATCCCAGGAATTCCAAGCAGAATAAACATGGAAGGATGGGGGGGCAGTGTCAATGGAGACAGGTGCAGAGAGCATAATGATGCAGAGAATTGAAGACTTTATCTTCCTTAAAGTGGTAGAAAAGAAATGATATCATCCTAGATGTCATTTATTACTTCTAAATATTCATTAAACCTTTTGCCTTTCTTCATTCTCACCAATTCTATTCAAATTTTTGCCTTCCTCACTTCTTGTCTGTGTTACTAAAATATTTTTGTAACTAATAGATTCACTTCCAGGACTTGCATCTTCTATTAAAATCTCTTCCTTGTGGCTTTGATATTCTAATATGTGAATAGAATACACTGTAATGTAAAAATATAATGTCTCTGTGTTCTGTGCAGAATATCTTCTATTAACCTCCTCTGTTCTACCCTTTGCCATCTTCTATCATGTTCTGGGTCCTGAGACACTGACCTCTGTGGACTACATCAACAGACTTC